TCTGTGTTGCTGCTGGGACTGCGCTGGTGCTTCTTTTGTTGCCACTGATTGATGCTCCAGGTGCGCCTCTGCTTAAAGCTCCTCTCACATCACCCATTCCCTTTCTTTTCTTTCCGTCATCCTTTGAAATTTCCTTTCTGATCCCAATGCTGCTGCCCACCAGGCACCGGCTGCAGATCTTCCCTCTGTGCCACCAGAACAGAGCCATCCCCGGGAGCTGGGAGCCTAATTAAGGCATGTAATGAATCTGCAGAAGGAGATGGCCCGCCGCACTCGTGCATCCTCTGGGTTCTTCCTCCACAGAGTTAATTGCATCAGACAGCTCTTAAAATAGGGTGCTGTGCCTCCTGGGGGTGGCTCAGGGCTGAGTCCTAGGGAGGTGCTGCTCCTAAAAATACATTCTTTGCTCCCTCTGACCTTCCCATAGTAAAACCCCACGGTGGCGTCGCCCTCCGTGTGCTCAGGTTGGTCCTGTCACCAATTGCAGAGCTCAGGTCCCTCCTCTCCGGCTCTAATTAATGGTAGATGATAATTTGTCTCCGGTTGAGTTGGAATTGAACACTAAATGGATGCTTGCCCCCATGAAGAGGCTGGGCTTCACGCTGATTATGACAGAACAGGGTATTACTTATATAAGCGTGATGATTTACGCTGCCTGGAGCTCTGGATTTTCTCAATATATGACAAATCTGAGGCATTTTAAAAAAAAAAGGAGATGCTTACTATATTTTACATTATTTTCTAGAACGCGGATCCCTGTGGGCTGCCTAGAAATCCATTAGCATGGAATGTAAAGATGCTTAGAGGCATTTACCCGGATTAGCTGCCTTTATGTAGTCAAGGATCTTTTATATGATTACCTTAAAAGCTAAAGAGCTGCTGCAAAACATTTATAACCCAGAGATTCTGAAGCGAGGAGGGCGCATCTGACAGAAAAATTAAGCTGTTCAAAAACAAACGCTTCGACTTCCAGACAAACAACATGGAAGGTGAAGGCAGTGAGCACACTGAGCAGCAATCCCTTTGCAATCCATGGTCCCTGCTTGGGGACAGCCCCCGAGGAGCAGGACAGCAAGACCTGTGCTGGAGCACATTCCTATGGCAATGCCCCGCACGGCACAAAATCGCACATATCTCTTGTTTTCAGCTGTAGGGAAATCCTTTCAAGTGTGGAAGAGGAAGGGAAGGAGCAGAAAAGCATCGGTGAGCTTTTTGCTGCTCCTTCTTCCTTCAAGGGCAGCTTTGGCAGCCGCACATGGAGGCCCGGCGTCCTCCTGCTCCTTTGTCCTTTAGAATAAAAAGTCATTTGTCAGCAAAAGAAGCAAAGTTTTGTTTTTCAGTCTGGATCTGGCTGTCCTCCCACTGAGACTTTCAACTCTTTATCTCAGGAATTGATGGTCTCGGGTTCTGATCCTCTTTCCTTGGTGTTTGTATTGATTTTTTTTTTTTCCAGGAGTGTTATTTTCACCGTGGTTTCAGAGCCATCCTTCTGTCTCCACTTACAGTCAGTAATAGCTCAGCTCGCAGAATTACCCATTTTCTGGGCCGTGTTGGTCCCAGCTCCTTGCAGAAGCTCCCGGGGTGGCCTGAAGCCGGGTCTGCTGTCCCTATATTGCCACTGGGGCTCATCCCTGTGCCTTGTGGGGTTGTGTCCCCTCAGTGCAGCCCGTGAGAGCTCAGGAGATTCTCCCTGTTCCATGTCTGCGCCCAATAGTGAATAAATCCCAGTCTTGATTCAAAAAAGCTGCTCCGTTTCCTCACCCCCGCGACGGTTTTCAGTCATCTCGTCTTGCTAAAGAAAAATTCATGAGATCATTCCCCCACAACAACATGATGCTTCAAACCCGTAATTAAAATACCTCTGGCTGTTCTAATATTAAGCTTTTATAAGTGCTTGGAATAATATTTCAGAGAAATGGGAGAGCTTTGTACTCTATTAGCATGACATACCCTTCTCCCAGTGAAATATCTCGAGCATCAAATCCTCCGTATAGGCGGAGGATACCCTTCCCTGTTGGCTTCCTCTATGAAGGGAGAGCCTACACCTCTCCAGGGCTCTCAGTGGTGAATGAAGCTGTCCCAAGGGTCCATATTGATTCGCTGGATGACATTAATACCTTCCAATGCACCAGCAGCAAAATCCGGGCTATGAATGCTAAGCGGGCGGCTGCTGCTCCCCAGAGATGGGTAAGCAAGATCCCATACATTACACCACGTGAGTCGTGTGTCATATTAGAGCAATCTAGTTTTAAAGGGCATCTTTCAGGCACAAACTAGCTTTTTCTCACACTTGACTGATCACACAAATAACTGTGATTAAAGGTCAAGTGCTTGGGTTTTTCTATTTTACTCCTTAAAAATTTATATGCGAAAGAAAACCTAGAAGTTAACATAGCATGAAATTGTTATGCAGTTATGAGTCTTTAACGACAACTAAATATCACTTTCCGTCCTGGGTGGCTGGCAAAACCTCCAGTAATAATGGGACGGTTCTTCTGGTTTCCACTCGAGGAAGATTATAAATAAACCCTGTCCTTTGCTTCCCTGTCCTGTAAAGTGATGGAGGGGGGATTTATTTTAATCAGCTGAACTTGTAACCTGACTCCAGGGCTGAGAGAAGGCAGTGGATGTGTTCCTGGTGTGGGTGAGAGATAGGGAGGGCTGGAAATGCCTTCTGGCTTTGAGCACCCAGTGGGGATGCCTGTACCAGTACAAATCTGCACCCCTGGGTCTGGGTTGCAGGGCTGAGCGTGGGGTCGGTGCTTTGGGGTGAGAGGAGATTGCTGGCAGGCACGGAGAGCAAGCAGAAACACAAGTCTGTAGTGCTGAACCTGAGTGTGAATTCTCATCGGGCTGGAAAAATGTTCCCTCCATTTGTGCAGAATGGCCACAGCAGCAGCACCTCCCAACAGCCCCCGGTTTCCAGCAGATTGGTTCTCTATTGCAATGCTTCCCAAACCTCTCAAAAAGCAAATGCGCCTTAGGTGTTTAAAATAAAACGCTCAGAAAGATGAGATTAAAGCAACGTTGCCCTCGGGGTCTTGAGCTGGTCCTTGGGTCGCTGAGGATTCCCAATCTTGCAGGCATTGCTTGAAGTTACTCACATAGGTGGTCTCATTAACTTCAGGAAGGGCATACTTGGAAGCCAGGACACAAGGCAAATGAACTGCAATCACCATATCTAATTAATCTAATTATGCAGTGTGCAAATCTGAGTCTGATTGGCAGCAGGCTTCAATGGGATACTTGCTCCAGTAAACTTATGCGTGAATGAAGGAAGCACTGCAGAACTGAGGCTTTGGCATCTGGCATTTGGAGATGTTTCAGTGCAGTGTGTGTGGTTACAAACCACTGCTTTTCCTGCAGCACTGTGCCCCCTTTCCTACGGGCATCATCGCTGTGTTCCTGCTCCAACAGACATCCCCACACCTCTCCCTTCATGCCCAACCCAGCCCCCAGTGCTGGCTGCCGTAGCTGCAGACTCAATGTTTTTATTCCAGGCTTACAATGTTTTACATTTGACAGCACATAATTATGGCGTGGGGAACAACCCACAGGAATAAGTGTTGCTACATAAGCAGACTTCAGCATTGGGTTGTACAGCCATCAGATGGGAGGCTGACGGGTGTTCAGCCTGTTGAGATTTTGCAGGAACCTGCAACACCTACAGTTGGCAGGAACTGAAGCACGCTGCCTTCCTCCTTGGCACAGGCAGCTGTACACCCATGGCTGTGCTTTCCTGGTGCTTCCTTTTGGCCAATCTGAAATTTATGGTATCTACAGGACCTTGAAATGCAGCTGAGAATCCAATTCCAGCCTGGAGAGGCAGAGCCTGAGGCTCGATGTGAACTTGGCACACCCAAGCATGGCTCTCAGGTGGTACATTAACGAGGTCTGCAGCTCTGTGCATGGCACAGACTTTGCACATTCAGGAGCAACATGGGACTGTAGTGCTGGTACAGGAGGTCAGAACAGAGAGATCTGGAATGCTCTGGAACAGGTTGCCCAAGGAGGTTGTGGATGCCCCATCCCTAGAGACATTCCAGGCCAGGCTGGATGTGGCTCTGGGCAGCCTGGTCTGCTGGTTGGCGACCCTGCACATAGCAGGGGGGGGGTGAAACTAGATGATCATTGTGGTCCTTTTCAACCTAGGCCATTCTATTAATTTTGTGATCTGCTGGACACCTCTCATTTCTCCAGCAGTTTGCAGAGGGCAGAGGCTGTGCATCCACCCCAGCATGGCAGGACAGTGGCAGTGTCGGGACAGGGATGCCATTCATTTCCAGTCTGTCCAGCTAGGCTGCAGGAGGGTGCATTGCTGCCCGCTGAGGCCTTCTGCTTTCCCCTGCTCCCATGGTTGTATAGCTTTGGGGCTGCCCATTGCGTGGTGCAGAGTGAAGCCGACCCCTCAGCCCTCCTGCACTGCTGAGCAATGGGAACACGACAGTAGGAGGCAAACAAGGAGGCAAACATCAAATAATGCCCCATCCCTGGAGGTGTTCAAGGCCAGATTGGATAGGGCCCTGGGCAGCCTGGTCTAGCATTAGGTGGGATGATTGGTGGCCCTGCGTGTGGCAGGGGGGTTGGAGATTCATGATCCTTGAGGTCCCTTCCAACCCTGGCAATTCTGTGATTCTGTAATGGAAAAGCCTGCAGCACAGTTCATTCAGGGTGCGACCGGATGTATCTCAGCTTCCCCAATGGCCAAGCAGTCCTTTAGCTAACATCAGACAACAATCCCTGCCCTTGACACTGAGGCCGGGAATCCCACAGCCCGCTCCAACCTCGCGAATCTCTCGACGCACAGCCGCGCCATCAGTCGGCTTCAGAGTGAACGCGGCTCGCCCCGCCCCCTCTCTCCCCTCCCCTTCTCCCCATTGGCTGTTAGGCTCTCTAAGCCCCGCCCCCTCGGCGGGGGTTGGCTGGAGCTGGGGGGAGCGGGGCGGGGCGCGGCGGTCGGAGCGCGGCGGCGGCGCGGGGCGCGCGGAGTCGGCGGCGTCATGGAGACGGCGAGCGGCGGCGGCGGTTTCCCCCGGGCGCTGCCGCTGCTGCTGCTGCTGCCGGTGTTGCCGGTGTTGCCCCGCGCCGCCGCCGAGCAGGGTGAGCGCATCCCCGGTCACCGCCCGTCGGGTTGTGCGCTTCGCCTCCGGTGCGGTGCCGTTCTGTGGGTTTCCCTTTCCTTCCCGGTGCAGCCCTCGGGGATCCGCCGTGAGCTCGTTAAAAGGAACGGGATGGGGAAGGAGGGAGGGCGCGAGGTACCGCTGTATCCGCAGGGAGGGAGGAGCGGGCTGGGATGGAAGGCACGGGCGGTGCGGGGCGCAGTGCGGGCACGGCACGGCTCGCCGGGTTCCTGTTTGCTGCCAGCGAGCGACTCGTGAAACTGAGAACGTGGGCAAATGCCCCGTCCTGCCGAAAGAAAAGAGTGCGAAAAGAGTGACTTAGAAGCTGGGATGTATTATTTAAAGGAAATTCGGGCTGAGATTTTTGCGGGGTCCATCGGGCGGCAGTGGGCTCGTTAACGTGTGTTCCTTCCCGCAGTCGTCCTGATGGACTCGAAAGAATCCCAAGCGGAGCTGGGCTGGACCTCACACCCGGCCAACGGGGTAAGGGCAGCCCTGGGTGCTGCGTGGGCTTTGAGTGGGAATCCTCGGTTGTGTGGGGCTGAGAAGAGCCGGCATGGCCATGGGGGTGGTGTGGCAAGGGAGGACACCTCCCCAAAATGCACCTTGTGCTCCTATAGAGCAAATTGTCAGCAATCTGAGAGGCAGAGGGGTGAGCTCCGGTCCGTTCCCTGCAGCAGGGGCTGCTGTTGGCAAAGTCAAAGTTTGTGTTCCTCATTGCTTCAGGTTTGTTTTCCAGAAGGCAAACAGAGTGTTTAGAGGGGAAAGTGAAGCATCCTGGCGTCGTCTACCTTCCCTGGCTGTCAATCTGCAGAAGGAACACTGTTTTGGGTGCATTTAGCAAGCTGATATAAATATACCCTCAAAAAGAATTGCCTTGGGAAGTGTCAGGTCATTCTTAAAGCTTGAGTCATCAGCTTGCTCAGAATCTGTGCTGGTGACTTTGGGGAAAACCATTACACTTGCAGGCAAAGGACTCATCCTGTCCCAGCTCTAACTTCTTCAAGCAGAGAAGCTGCTGCTGGTTGAGATATTGTCACTGCACGATGGCTCTGTGTGTCCTGAATCATCTGTGCCTTTTGTGGGTGGCTCTGGGAGCTCAGGTGTGAGGTGGTTCCACAGCCCTGTGACCACAGCGTGTGGTTTGGGAGGCTGAGGGATGCTCAGTGCCTGTGCTGTGCTGGTCTGTAGGTGGAGAGGCAGCTGGGGGAGGCATTTATAGTGGTGGCTGTGTTCTGCTCAGGTTCTGGCTCCAGCTGCCCACAGTTCCCGAGCTCTCTCAGCCTCTATATTCTTTCCACAGTGGGAGGAAATCAGCGGCGTGGACGAGGAGTACAAACCCATCCGTACCTATCAGGTGTGCAACGTCATGGAGCCCAACCAGAACAACTGGCTGCAGACGGGTTGGATCGCCCGGCGCGACGGCCAGCGGATCTTCATCGAGCTGAAGTTCACCCTGCGGGACTGCAACAGCATCCCAGGTGTGACAGGCACCTGCAAGGAGACCTTCAACCTCTACTACGCTGAGTCCGACGCCGATTTGGGCCACAGCATCCGCGAGAGCAAACACACCAAGATTGACACCATTGCTGCCGACGAGAGCTTCACGCAGGGGGACCTGGGCGAGAGGAAGATGAAGCTGAACACAGAACTGCGGGAGATCGGGCATCTGAGCAAGCGAGGTTTCCACCTGGGCTTCCAGGATGTGGGTGCTTGCGTGGCTCTGGTCTCCGTGCGGGTTTATTACAAGAAGTGCCTCAGCACCGTGCAGAACCTGGCGGTTTTTCCAGATACGGTGGCAGAGGCGGCTTTTGCCACGTTGGTGGAGGTGAAGGGCACGTGTGTCGAGCACGCCCGGGTGGATGTGGATAACCCCCCCCGGATGCACTGCAGTGCTGAGGGAGAGTGGTTGGTGCCCGTCGGGAAGTGCCTCTGCAGCCCAGGCTTCGAGGAGAGGGACGGGAGGTGCAGAGGTAATGGGGCTGTTTGCATCTTTTTGCCTGTGGGAGCGCTGGGTGGAAGTGCCAGAGCTCTGAATACCACCAGCATTTCCCCCCAGCTTTATTTGGAGCCCTAAAATTACCCTCTGTCATGAATATCCCCGTCGCCGTGCTTTAGACGCAAGTTAATAATTTGGTGACTTTATAGCTCTCGAGGTTGCTTTTAATGACAGCTGTAAAAATGGATATAACCCTGACCTTCCCTGGGGTCTTCTTAATGAACCCAGGGCTGGGACCATTTTGGAGCAGGAGTGGTGATGGCTGTGGGTATGGGGGATGCCTGGGAGCCTGCAGGAGGTGAATGTGGGCATCCACCTGCACATCTCTGCTGACGTGTCCCTGGGGAGTGCCAGTGGGTCGTGTGAGTGGAGCAGCTTGAGCTGTCCTGGTGTGAATGGGTTTTGGTGTGAAAAAGCTCTTGTTTTCATGCATTGGGTAGCATCAGTGCTCAATCTGCAGCATGGAGCCTGCTGCCTTCAAAGCAGCACAGCCTGGGGTTGCTGGAAAGCGGGCAAAGAAGCACCGAGGCCAGGGGTTGCAAGGGCTCAAGTGCTTCAGCTCTGCAATAGGAGAGGTTTTCCAGAGGGAAAAGATGTGCTTCGATGGGACTGCTTGAGGCTTTATGGCTGTGAACGGTTCTCACTTTCCCCTGAACCCGGATGGGTTTTTATGGTGCCCCAGCAGTGACTCTTCATGCGCTGCCCTCCTCTAAAAGACCTTATTAAAACTATGGGGTTGAAATCTCAGCATTGTTGACTGCTTCAGTGGCTGCGTGGCAGCTCGCCATGCTTTCCCCATCTGTTTGGAGTGGGAATTTACATAGCGAGTCCCAGAAGGCTTTTGCTAATGTTTCAGGTTTCTCTGTGTTGAATTTAAATAATTCATATTCTCTAAGGAAAAATATCTGAAGTAATTTAATGGACGTAATTAAGTTTTTCCCCCCTCGCACAGAAAGCAGGTCATTAGTCACTCTCAGCAGAGCAGCATCTTATGTCTGGTCAAATATCAGAAAACAGTTTTAAGAGTTGAAAGTTTTTTTTTGTGTGTGTGTCTTATTTTCTTTCTTTCTTTTTTTTTTTTTTAAGCTTTGAATAACTTTAGAAGATTTCTGATGAAAGCCTTTCCGGGCTGCAGAAATTGCTGTGCAAGGACAGGAGCCCTTGAATTGGAAGTGGATAAAGGGAAGGGCTGTCTGGGGATGCTCTGTGCCCAGCAGTGCAGCCAGGATGCTGGGCATCAGCCTGGTGCTGCCCCTCATAACCTGTCCCATGCCTGGCAATGGGATGGCAGAAGTGCTGCAGGGCAGAGCTTAGAGGTGAAGGAAAGGCAGGGCGTCTCTGCTAGGGAAATTAGCTTTATTTCCTGCTGAATGCGGGTTTGAGTTGAATCACAAAGCCTCCTTGCTCTGGTGATTTAGGTGCTGAAATCACCCTGCTGCTGCGAGAACATTTGTATCCTCACACTGAAATTAGGAGAGATGAGAAAAGACTAATAGGATTTACGGCGCTGCTAATTAGTGCTGTGATAAAGCCAAGCCTTTTTGCTGTCCATCTTCCCACATAGCACCGTTCCTCTGAAGAAATCCCAGAGCACCCGACAGCTTTCCTGGGTTTGCACATTTCTGATGAATCATTTTGGTGATCATTGAAACGCAGCCATCTCTGGGGTGGAAGTGAGCAGCTTTAGCATCTGCTTAACATCTTCCCGCAAATAAGAGGAGAGGTTCTGTCACTGTAAATACATTTAAACTGCTTTTCTTGTCTAATATACACCTCCAGCCAGCTGCTGGCCTGTGCTTACCCTCATCTTAAAGCCTATTTCCAGCAGATGCGTGGTGGGCGGGTGGAAGGTGCTGCAGCACTGTGGGCCATCTCCTGTCCATCCCTATCTTGTTTTCAGTTGGCTTCTCAGCACTGATGTCTCTTTGCTCTTCATTTTGCCAGGTGTGAGCTGCAGCCCCTCCACGCCATTCGCTTTGCAACAGCTTCTGCGTAAATGAAACTGCCATGTGAGGGATCTCTGCCTGACGTTTGCTGTGAAGTTGTCTTTTGTGCTTCATCTTTCCCATCCAATCCCTTGTAATACCCGCAAGGAGAATTGCCACAAAGCCCAAGGTTAATATTTACCAGCCAGTTTTGTTGCAAATGAGACAACTTCAAGCAGACGTTGAATTAATATGACGGAGATCCGCTTCCAAAAATAGCTGTCAGCCACTCTTCTTTGACAGAACCGTAAATTTGTGCTGTAGTTAAGTCTCATCCATTTGTTTCCCTCTGCTTTTGACAGGAGTGGTGGGAGCTGGCGTGGAGCTGCTGGGACAGCAGTGCTGCTGTCACCTAGATGGGGCTCAGCAGCAGTGACAATCAGGTCAGGCTTCAGGCTGTTGTGTCCCTTCTGTGCAAGTATCATATATTGCTGATGGTAATTTTAGGGAGAAAACAGTTTCTAGTGCTTTGTCTGGGTATTTAGAGTCCGTTCTCAAGTGAGTTTGGTATGGGTGGAAGGGATGGCTTTGCCCTCTGTGGTGCAGCAGGCAGAGTTGTCCTGGTGTGTCCATCCCTGGTGGTGTGCAGGGGGATGTGGGGGCTTTACAAGGTGAGCAGCTGGCTCTGTGGTCTTGAAATGCAGAGGTGAGGCGAGGGGTCAGCAGCTGCTAGAAGAACACAGCCTTTGCTACTGGCAGCTACTAGTGGTACAAAACCTAACTCACGCTGGATGCTGTGCAGTTAGCAATAAGTGAGCTCTGCTTGGATCCATCAGGATCTGCCCGTTGGGGTGTCCTGATGGATCTCCCAGCAGAGCAGTGCCTCTGCACCAACACCAGGTCCTTTTTGAGCCAGTTTTGATGAGAACGGATCTTATTTTGCAAAAAGCAAGGCTGCAGTAGTAGT